TGGCCAGCAACCACAGCACATAATGCATCGCACTGCTGGCTGTATGCAACCTCACCCTGACCCCCCCATCCCCATCAAGACAGGGGCAGTGGTTACACTAGAGGGATTCTTAACACCAGGAGGAAAAAAGTGAAGCATTATTAAAACAACACCTCCCTAAAATCGCTACCTCCGCCGGAACTTCAGAGCTAGCTGGGTTGTCTCTGTCGCCTGCCATGCAAGGCCCTCCAAACCTTTCACAGCTGAAGCGCAGGCAGATCGACACACACTCTCTCTGTGGGACTGTGATGCTGTGCAGCACCAAGTTCTGAGGAAAGAAGGGCACAAGCTCAGAGCTCGGAGCTTTGAAAAGCTGGACCATGTCGTTCTCACTGAGTAAGACAGGAGGCCACTGTATTCGGCGATCATCTGCGATCCGTTTCTTTAGGGAACTCAGGACACACAGCACAGCACAGCAGTGAAGCACTGCTCCACAGCAGGGGCGGGGGACGTTTTCAAATCACGACTGGATAACTCTTATCAAATTCCAAATGTTCTTTTCTTCTCATCTCCTGGGGAGAGCAGCAGGGAGGACTCCGTCTTTCTGAGCTGGGTCTGTTCACTCTCCCTGCCGAGAGGTCCGGCACGGGGGAACCCCTCGGTGCTGCTCTCTCGTACACCCACACGTCTCCAAGAGTTTTCGCCATCCCTCTCTGGTTCTCTCCCCAACCGAGCACTTACCACCAGCTAATTATTCACGCTCATAATTAGCTGGATGGATAGATTCTGATCTCCGTTCACTAATTAATTTGTTTTCCCAACTTCGAGAGTTAGTCAGAGGAAGGAGGGAGGGGGGATCAAGGAGCATGAGGGGGAGTGGGTGTCTGTGGGGTCAAACTATTGAGCATCCTCCTCTCAAAGGGCTTAGTATTGAAAAGCACTTAAGACCATTCTGTGTGTGAGATACGACAGTTTAGGAACACCGAGCTAAGATAATTAGACAGGCCATCAGCATAAAATTACCATGATTAGAGCTTTTGCGATTGAATTATTTTGTTTTTTGGGGGGGAGAGGACGGGCCTTTGAATGATGACTCACACACACAATTAAATGTAAAAATGTTTTACATTTGTTAAAACAATGTGTACTCCTACTGAAAGGAGATCAGGAGGCGCGGGAACAGAGCAATCAAGTCATACTCGCAAGTTACACCTGCGACCTCAAGGTGTGTGTGATCACATCAGCTGGGTTTTTCAGTTCGAACTATGCCCAGTTATTAGCTTTACACATCGCTGGCATCCACAAGAATGGAACAAGGACACTCTTAGGGTGCTTTACAAAAAACTGGAATGATAGATGACTCATGTCAGTCATGCTGATAGTGTCTCAGCCCAGGATCCCAATGCCCCGTGAGGTATGGCCCTGCAAAGCCAGGCTGAGTTGTCAGCTGTAAGCACTCATCCACCCACCTACCCACCCATCCATTAACAACTTTTGGATTTCTCCCGGCGAAGCAAGCCAGGGCCTCCTCTGGATGCACGCAGTGCAAGGCGAGACTGAGAGCACACTGCTCTGCTCTCCCCCTGGCTGGGACATCACGCACTGAGCCCTCATCAAACGGCAGATCCTCGCTTTAAAGACAGCCTTTATATTCTGTGCTTTATATCCCTGCTCCTTTCCTCTCTCCCCTCACACCTGTAGAAGGCTCAGCAGATGAAATGCTGCGTTTCTTCATTCGAATTTTCAGCATGGCATTAAAACCCTTTTTTTGTTCTTTAGCAGCCATGGTATAGTGTTGGACTGAAGAACAATTCTGATAATAATATTCACGCGTGCAGTGGCACCACGTCCCCAAGATTGCTTGCTAAGTACGACTGATTCACCTGCTATCATCCAAGGGACACTGAGAAAGGAAGCTTGCTTATTAGAGTGTGGCATGCTCACTTGTGAGCACAATCTGTGCTATCTCACACGGGCGGCCGGTGCCTCCACACAGACACCCCTGGGAGCACTTGCATTCATCTCTCTGGCTCTGCAGGAGCTTGCACAACACCAAGGCATGATCTGGGTGCAAATCGCCCTGTTATTGCATCTGTCTGCTAGGAGATCTGCCTGTGAATATGCATGAAGGTGATGGCAGGTACAAATGAGCTATTTCCTGCACCTAAGTGGCAGCACATTGGAAATGACCGAATTGTGTTGTTAAGACAAGAGGTTAGAGCCTCTGCACTGTAACTTGTGTTAAAAATCAGGGGTGCCGACAGCCCCTTTGTCGCCAACCACACCCCTTCCTTCACAGCAACACCCATCAGCAAAACGCAATGCACAGCTCGTTTAGAAGAAGAAAACCTTGATGAAAACTGCCATCATCGCCGTGAGAACAATTGGATTTTGTCGTTTAATGGTGGCGAACATCCTGATATGTTCTTTGCGTGTCTTGCAAAAGAGGTCTGCTTTCTTGTCACACTGTACATAAGTAAACAAAAAAATAACAAATCAAAAGGGCTAAGCTATTTAATAATGACTAAAATAAGGTTTAAAATGCAGCAAACAAGGAGAATTCGTTTTTTGAATGCCCCCTTCTGTCCACTTTCTAATAATTCCAGCAATGGGCCTCAGCCACATTACTCACTCTGGTTTACACTGCAGGGAGCGTTTGGCTGAACACAGGGACTGAGAGTGTGGAGATGCCCCTCCGTCTCTGCCTGGATTTACACAGCCATCTGTAGAATTGCCTCAAAACAACAGAGCAGACAGCAACATGCAAAATCAAATGAAACATTTACATCTGCAAAACACGTGACAAAAATGCTTCGCTGAAACACCCCGATGCACCTTGACATCCCCTTACCAGAAAAAAACTCTGTTTTTCTGTATGTTAATGTTTAATTGCTGCACAGCGCTGCTTGGGGACGAGTTATCAATGTTTCATTTTTTTTTACTCTCCAATTTCTTAGTTTCAGATCAGCATTTGTGTTGTACGACTGTCAGCCTACTGCCTCAAAGCTCTTCCGTACCAAGATGGATTCTGAAACAGGGTATCTTCTGTATGGAACTTGCATGTTCTTCTCAGGTTCTTATGGGTACTCTTGTTTCCTCCCACTTTCCAAACATTTTGTGACAGGCTGGCAGGAGTTGTCCTTGTGTGTTTGTGAGTGTGAGTGTGTCTGTGTGTGTGTGTTTGTGAGTGTGCCCTGCCTGTGACAGGCTGGCACGAGGTTTCCTTGTGTGTTTGTGTGTGTGCCCTGTGACAGGCTGGCATTGTGTCCTGGGTTTAGTCTGCTTTGTGCCCAATGCTTCCAGGACAGGCTCCAGTTTTCCATGACTCTGACCAGGAATAGGTGTTTTTTTTTTTTATAATGGACAGTTACTCAGTTCTCTTTGAAGGAGTGATTGAAATAATCAGTGTCACATTAGCTACTCCCTCAAGATTATACTACTGCAGAGATCTGACTTGGTCCTGAATAACCACAGGGTCTTTTAATTTTGTTCTATGCGGGCTCTTAATGACTTAATGGGATCCATTAATGACTTAACTGGTATTAATTACAGCTGATCCCAGATCTTATAAAACCAGCAGGACTGTATCTTCACGGAACAAGGAAGTCCGATGCCTGTGTGGGCCCATGCTTGAGGAAATACAATCTTTCGAAGGTGGAAACAGGGAAGTTACGTTGAGTGTTGTAGTTGTTAAGCAGTCAAGCACTTATGATTGATTGATGACCCAGTCGCTTCAGTGATTACTGGATCTGCCAGAGCTCACTCTTTGAATAAGACATAAGAGATAAGATAAGATCACTTTATTGGCCAGATACAATTTCTTGCATTAGGAATTTGTCTTTTCACATACCCCAGCTTGCTCTCCATGAGACACACAGACAGGGAGAGAAGCTGGGGGTCAGAGCACAGGGTCAGCCATTTATACAGCACCCCTGGAGCAGCTGGGGTTAAGGGCCTTGCTTGGGGGCCCAATGGAGTAGGATTCCTCTGCCGTCTGTGGGATTTGAACCAGCAACCTTCCAGCCACAGGCGCAGATCCTGAGCCACGAGCCAACTCACGTCTAGATTCGCGGAAGTGCAGATGCTCTAGCTACTGCTCCCTGTTAGCTCCTTGAATGAAACGTTTCCTTTGATTGTCCACTGTCGTGCGAACTTTATGTAATTTGCAGTACATGGAGACGGTGACAAATCAAAAACTACTACACGTGAAACTGACTGATAAGAAAATCACTCTGACGACCAGGCAGACAGAGAAACACTTCAAACTCAAATGTGCGAGGTTTCCAGGCCAAGGCTAACAACCTATGAAAGATAAGAATGATGACTGGTGACGTACGATAAACTAAAAAAAAAGTGTAGATCCCATACAGAGCACTTTCTTTCCAATAACGTGTTTCACACAAATGAAAACGGGCGCATTAACAGTGTCTCACTCCCTGTTCAAAAACTTACAGGTAGTACAGATAGAAGCCCTCTCTGTTGACCTCTGTGCTTCCCCAGAAGATTGTCAGTATAGTGCACGTATGTATCTACAATCCCCCCTCCCCATCGCTGTGTTTTTAGCATTTGAGCACCGCAAACACATTGCAAAACAGAAATTTCTCATTTTGGTCACACGACTCTTTAATTTGGTTAGAGCATTCCGTATTTCCATCTGCGAAACGTGCGCCGTCTGCAGTGTCGCTGTATTTACTATAAGGTGCACGAAGGTCTCAGGAGCGTATTCAAAATATCGCTAGGCAAATCACAACGCCACCCACACAACAAGAAGTGAACAACGCTCGCTTGTTGACATACCAGCCAGCCATCCCGTCGGCAGGCAACAGCGCACCGCGCGCGCCTCTCGCTTCGCATGGAGCCGAAAATAATTTTGATTGACAGGGAACGCGGCCCAATAGAAGCAGCCCAAACCAAGGAGGTTCATTTGCATATTTGTTTCATTTGGCCCGCTACAACCAATCCCCTGCAGCGCTGGGCGGGCCCTATGCAAATGACCTGGCTAAGCAGAAGCGGAGAGCGGTCCATTCATTTTCTGGTTAACGGAGAAGCAAGGCGCAGTCGGAAATTTCGCCTGTTTCTAGTTCAGTACAGTTACCTTAAACCAGGAGATCTTTGCTTGTTTAAGGTTTGCCAGTCTCGGAAAAAGGATTATCCACGTTGTCCCCAACAAGTAAAAGGGAATAGACATTTTACTGGGCGTTCCGGGGTGAGTTATTAATGATCATATGTATTTGAATAATTAAGCAATTATTAATATGATTGGTATTTTTTTTGTGCTGCGGTTGGAGCTGTTTCCTTTTCGATGATGGGAAATGTCAAATGCCATCGCTCTGCTGCGGGGTACCCAAACAAGTGGAGATGGTAACGTGCGCTGCAAGAGACAAAAGTCCTCATTCAAACACCTGAGCCCGTTTTTCCCGAGCGTTATTCCGCTTTTGTAAAAGGCTCCGGACGGACAAGCGCCTCTGCGCTGTCTCGCCCCCGCCGTGCGTGTCATTGCGCCGTGCTGTGCGCAGCTGTCAGTCAGGTAGGGTGGTCGGTGTGCGGGCCGAGGAGGGGGGCGGCGGCGGCGGCGGCGGTGGGGGTGTGAAGGCATGGCGGGGCTCGAGACACACGGGTCCGCGTGCGGTCTCGGCTCCGCTTTGCGCGCGCGCGCGTGTCCCCCCCCCCACGCACCCCCGCCGCGCTCTCGCTGCCTGGCCGCGGCCCGCATGACGGCACACGTGCCGAACCCAAACAGATCGATCCCGCAGGAGCTTCCCGATCCAGCTTCTCGGGGGGGGGGGTTGGGTCCCGAAAGGGGCCCTCTGGGGGTTGGGTCCCGAAAGGGGCCCTCTGGTAGGGAAGCTGGGGTGCCCTGGGGCCGGACGCGGAGGAGGGAGTGAGGGGGCCCGCGCAGGCCCACTCTGGGGTCCTGTGCACCCCCCGAGAGAGGGGTCGGCCACCGGACGCGCTGATGGAGAAGGGTGCGCTCGGGGGGCAGCGGGGGGACAGCTGGGAGAGCGCGTCTAGGTTCCCCTCGCACCTGCCGGGGTCAGAAGAGCACTGGCTCGTCCAGGGCACCCGTGGGTGGGAAGGAGTTTACCCCCCGAGCGGGCGAGTATGGCCCAAGACTCTGAGCCCTGCCCGCGCGGGGGAGTCTGAGGGTCTCGGGGGCGGCCCCAGCCCCGCTTCCTGGGAGACAGAAAAAAAGGGAACCGGAGCCGAATCCTGGGAATGGGCCCTGGCCGCTGGCGTCCGGTTTAGGGACCCGAGGAGGGGAGAGGTAGACGAGGTGGGCGCAGGGCATTCTGGGCATCGGGCCTGGAGTCTGTCCCCGAGCCCGACGAGTCTCTGTGACGACTTCTGCATCTGTACATCTGCATCAGACTCAGCTGACCGAGGCCCGGCTCTGAGCACCAAGGACATGCGGGGTCAAGGGTCGTCTCATTTCATCTCCGGAGCTGGGGGGGGTTTAAGTCACATCGATATCCTCCAGGCTCCGGCACGCCGAGGGCGGAACTGAAACCGTCGCCGTGACTCCCCAGTTCGCCGTGGGCGCAGGAGGGGGCCGCGGTCCGTGACGCGAAGGCGAGTCTGGACACGTGAACTGCAGAGTTCCCGAGAGCTCGATCGGCTGAGTGCTTCCCTTGCAAAGGGAGTGGGGCTTTTTTGTCATAAAATAATCATGGCAGAAGCACTCCTCGAACGTATTGCACCTAGATAACACTTTTAGAGACGAGAGATGACGTGGGTTTTGAAGAATGGTTTCTAGCTGGATATTTTGAACATCTGGTCATGTTTAATAACTTATTCTTTTTTGCTTGAGCCAGGGAGGGATAACGCCGCTGCTTGCATGCAAGGCTGAAGCTGTGATTTTTGAACAGGGGGACGTGTGTGGCTTTGACTGGGTTTGACTGGGTCTGTAAACAGTGTGGCTTTGGAAACAAACCTTTATAAAGATACTGTAAATGCAATAATTGTTTTGCCACTTAGATAGTGTTTTTAAGGTGTAACATAGAACACGCGATAGATTATTTTGCAGTCTGCTTGCATTTGTGGTTTTGGTACTTAGTGAGAGTCGGTTAGGTTTGGGTTTTTTTAAGACAAAGTCCCTTCTATTTCCCAGGTTTAGCACTAGAAGGAGCTAACACTGTAGGTGACAGGGAGGAAGAGGCTGTCAGCCCTGTTTAGGGAGCCTGTCAGTGTGAAAAGACCTGGGGAAAACACCGCTGGTCTGCGAACTGGCAGGAGCCCTGCTAGGCACTGCTAGCATCTGTGCAGAACAGTGGAATATACCACAGATACATCAGCCGACAGCGCCATTAACACAGAAACATTCCAGAACAGCAGACAGCATTACAAACACAGCCCTGCTCATGTGGGACTCGCAGGAAGACATTGCAGCAGCAGTCTATTGCTCCAAACACAGTCGGAAAGGGAGGGTTTCGCTTTCCCGAATGAGAACAGAAAGGATTTCCACAGTAGTCTAGCAGTATGAGAGATGATGGCAGCAGCCCCAGATGACTTCGTTAACTTCCTTGGAAATGCTAACAAATGAGCATTTTTGTGGTGTTGACTAAGGACAAAAAAAAAAGGAAAATGTAATTTGAATTAAATTTTGCGTTTAATGTAAGATCCCAGAACCACTTAGAAGAATGGTTCTTCAAGATATGGTAGGAAAATGACCAGCTTAGAAACCCTGCAGGT